TACAAATTCCTGGAGATCGGACATTATCGCACTCTGCAAAACAATGAATTCATTAAGCAAATACAGTCAAATCCTGGACTACAGTAACAGGAAATACGCAACAACTCGCTTTTTAATTTTCCGTTTTTTTAACTTCGCATCATACAGCTGGCAAAAAAAAAGAATTTGTAATTTTAACTAATATTTTACCCTCCAAAAAATGAAGGGAAGGAATAAAATGAATGCCAAAAATGACCGCAAAGTGACCACCGACTAATGCCCCCTTGACCGACAAAAAACTTTATCGACTGATCGAAAGTGTGTTACGATGAAAGTTTTCACTCGAAATAACTAGCATGGATTTTTACGTTACTTTTCATCAAAACACTAAACAAAAAATATCTACGTCAAAAAAAGCGAACAACAACCACACGCTGGTAAAGCCTAACTGCCAACAACAACCACACGTTGGTGAAGCCCGACTGCCAACAGCAACCACACGCTGGTGAAGCCCGACTGCTAACAGCAACCGCACGCCGGTAAAGCCCGAGTGCCAACAGCAACCACACGCTGGTAAAGCTCTAATAACTGCTTTTTTCGAGGATCACTTACAAGCAAGCTGATGGCAGGTGATAGTTGCGAGTACCAATTTATCGCATTAAAACTAAATAAAAGGCACCCATGTCAAAAAAAAGTCAACAGTCAAAACCCTCGCAGTGTTCGCTCAGTGTAAGAGATAAAGACACCTAAGAGCCCAAGTGCCAACAGCAACCACACACTGGTAAAGCTCTCGATGGCTAATTTTTTCGCCAGGGTCGCTTACAAGCAAGCTGATGGCAGGTGACAAGTGCGAGTATCAGTTTATCTCGAAACGAATGAACGAATCGTAGAGGGATTTACTGTCCCAACCACACATTTAATAAAAGTTACGCCAATATCGAAAATTTTAAACCAAAACGCCGGAAATCAAATTAAAAGAACGCAATTCCATGGAGAACTAGAATTTAAAATTTGAAACAAATCAGTCACAAAATTTGTTTTAAGGCAAAATATTTAATCGAAATAGCTGCAGTTAGTTTTTTTTTTACCAGTTATGCAAATTCCTATCTTTTTGCCACTCGCTCTAATTAATGCTTTACTGCGCGGTGCACAGTTTGCTAGCGATCCTGACGTTCGTTTTCGTGTCCTGAACGAGCCCCAGCCCTTCATAAGCCATCCGGAAGGCAATATTTAAGGGAAAACTGATTTTTAGCGAAGAAGCGATTTCGAGAACCGGACAAGCCAGGAAGCTCAAATTTTTGGGGATAACTAAACAGGTTTTCAGTAGTTCCTAGTCGACATCCCGTGACGCGAGGCTCTACGGCTAAAACGAAACGGACTGAGTAAAAAAACCGAAATTTTGGTGTCTCACAACAATTTTAAGAACGGTGCTGTACAAAGGAACACGGAATAATGGGAAAAAGGTATGCCGTCGAGAATGCGAGCATTTCGGAGGGGATGACTGTGGCGACGATGCATTAGAGAGATATAATCTGATATATGATGAGGGGGGTAATGGCAGTGCCGACCGGATCGCACAATAGACCGATTGAACGAGCGCAATCGATTGCAATGAAAAATAAAACAACAAAATTAAAATATGCATTTATTCGAGCAAAATCAATGGCGCATTAACCATGCAAAATACAGATTTATCAGTGAACACGATCAAACATCCACGTGAGAAATGGAAGGGACACATAAAAATCGCTCAAATTCACTTCATTGATGGTCAAATCATTTTCCCGTACTTTTTTATGAGGTACTTTTAGCGTATACAATACTTTTTTAGCGTAACAGCTAAGGGATGAAACACAGAGACTTACCACATAGTAAAATGTCCTTCGGCACATGACACTTAAGACCAATCCTTCCATTCTAATATTTAGTATTTGGGGTTTTGGGGCAATATTTTTGCGTTTTTTCTTTGTTTTTTTAATCGAGCAAATTGGCTGCTCTAAAAACTAGGACAGCTAATTTCCTCGTTAAAAAAAACCGCAAAAATATTTAAAGTTAAGATCATAAGTCAATCCAAGCAACCTTCATGTTAAACAAAAGTCATCCCGAAATATTCCGCGTGATAGCGAGCGCCCAACAGCAAACACCGTTTGGCA